TGCTCCAAGCCCTGTCCGACCTGACCTTCAACACTGCCAGGGATGGGGCAGCCACAGCTTCTCTGGGCACCCTGTGCCAGGGGCTCACCACCCTCACAGGGAAGAACTTCTGCCTAAGATCTCATCTCAATCTCCCCTCTGTCAAGTTAAAACCATTCCCCCTTGACCTGTCCCTACAAGCTCATGTGAAAAGCCCCCCTCCAGACTTCTTCTAGACCCCTTTAAGGCCCTGGAATTTCTGAATTATTGCCACCTGAGAACCCAGATGCAGAATCATACAATCCTTTAGGTTGGAAGGGACCTCTGGAGGTCTCTGAACCTGAGCATTGTCTTGTCCAGCTGGGTTTGGACTATCTTTTGGCCTCTTCTCACAAAGTCCAGCTTCGGCTAAGCAGGTGGTGGCCAGAGCTGCAGTTTGATGGCACTCCTCACCTCCATGTGCTTTTTTATTCTGCCAGTGTCCAGGCCCCCTTTACCCTGTGCATTGCCAGCTGCAGGTGGAGAGCATGGGTGGGAGCAGGTTTGGCTTCACATGGAGCTGTAAATGCGGTGAAGGTGCCTTAGTTTAGATAAAAGCTTCCTAAACCCAGGGATGCAGTTTATCCCCTGAATTTACAGATTACAAGACCTTTTACTGATTGCATGTGTGGCAGCATTGATCTTAGCCTAGGAGAATTTCACTGTACCTGTGAGCTCTCGAGATGGTACAAATCCCTCATGATGATCCCTACAGCTGTAGGACATGGAGCATCTCAGAGTGAATTTTCCATCTGCTCCTTTTAAAGATCTGCTCTGAAACATACTTTAAAGCACAAACCTAATAGACTTATTCTCCTCATTCAATTGCTCCTGTTCCCAAAGTGGTCGGAGATTTGGGGTATAATACTTTCCTTTGAGAGCATTAGGAAGTAGAAAGTTATCACTGCGGAAGGGCTGTTTTGTGTTTCTTTTCTTACCAGAAACCCTGTTCTAAAGGGGGGGGAGTTCTTTGTTTAGCAGAATTTTCTGCTTCTCCTTTATTAAAAAAGTGATCCCCCCCCTTTGATTTCAATTTTAGTGCTGGTGAAAAAGAGACCTGGCAATAGAAATTGTCTGTTCAAGACCGGACAGATAAAGGACAGGAGCCACTAACATGTACTCCCTGACATTCTTTGCTGTTTGTCAGGAGGGAGCCTGTGCAACAGAGGTGGGTACAGTGCTTCCTTCTCCATTGAGAGGGCCAGCACAGCAGAAAGCTTGGGGAGGTAACATAGCAAACCTGTCATTTGATGAGGAAAAGAAACTAAGGATGAGTATGAGTGCCTAGGGACAGAGTTTGGGAGCTCTAATTTAGCGGATGCAGGATCCCTGTGGCTTTTCCTTCTGGGAAGTTCAATGCATTCTGTGTCACCATAGTCTGCCTAATGGTTATTTGTTCCTGTGTTAAGCATTGGAGGACTGCAAGTTCAAAATTTTGAGGCTCTTCTCACAAATATGCTGAGAAAGGAACAGTGTTTTCTTCATTTTATAGGGAGATGGATAAAAGGAGGCATAAGCAGGGAGGAATAGGTGTGCTCAGGGGTTTGAGTAAGGACCTTTGTGGCTGAACTTTGTGGCATAGTAATGACTCCACAAGCATCCATAGATCAAACCACCTTGGCTCTTTCTACTAGAAATGCAAAATTAGGGAGAACCTCAGGTATTCCCATGACTCCTCTGGCACAGGCAGTGCCTACTGTAGAGTTAAGTAAAGCTGGGAACACAGCCTGAGGTTTGAACTGAGATCTGACAGCATACTCCAAGAGCAGTTTAGTCTCACACCCCTGTGCCATGGGAGAAGGAACTGAAGGCTGCAGGTCAGTCAGACTGGCATTTGGAAAGAGTCTCTGATAATTGCTGAGCATCTGATTTTCCGAAAGCTCTTCGTGCCACATCTTTTGTGCGTGCCTAATTAGGTCTGTCAGGCAGCAACACTGTGTTATGATGTCAGCAAGAGTTTCTTGGTGTGGGACTCAGTCAGTTTAAAGGACTAAATAGTACTTGGGAGGGAGAGGAATGAATTGGCTGGAAAGTCTAGCAGCTAGCCTGTTTCTTCTCCCAACTTCTTTTGAAGAACTATGGAAATCAGCAGCCTTTTTTTTTCCAGGGCTCCTTATTGTTCTTAAATACAACACTGAAGTCTGTTGGAAAAAACACAGATTGGGTTTTTACTTTCCCTCTTCTTTTTGAAGTCCTAGTAACAATGTGTTACAACCTCAGGCTCTATCGAGTTGATGAGGAATGAAGTCTTAGTAATGAAGAAGATTCTGAGAGTGTGTCTAAAGTGCTTGCTTTATTGGCAGCACATATTTCATACTGACAGTCAATACTTTTAACTGATCCCAAGACATGAGTGTTGCATTTTATATCCCTCCCATTCTGCTCTGGTCTTTTCCATGTGGTCTTTCCCAAGCTAGTGGCAGAGTTGGTTTGTCAGCCTCAGGTTTCTGAGCATATGCTTTTTTTTTCATTCACAGCCCACATTTTTAGGTCAGGAGGATAAAGTTTGTTCCGTGTCAATTCAAGGGAAGGACCAGAGGAGCCACAGGAAGGATTAGGTGGCAGAACAGCTGAAGAGGATCATGTGTGGGGTGATGGATTTAGCTTTTCAAGGACCCTAGTTGCCATTTTAGGGGGTCCAGTTTGCCATTTCATTACTGTTTAGGGCTCATAAACAGACAAAGTAGCTGCAAAGGAACAAGATTTAGATGTAGTCACAGCTTGTAACCTTTGGGACTTATTTTATTGCTTCTGGGGCATCAGTTTTCTCTGGCCAGTCCAAAGTAACATGTCCACGTGCCACCTTATTCTGCCTTAACCACATTTATGATTCCTTGATTCTGTGTTGTTTCAGTACCTTGCAGGATCAGACCACACTTACCCCATGTCACCCCCAAATGAAAAAACAGCAGAGCTTGTTTTCCCACATGTGCCTTGAAATTAAGCTGGTTTTTAGGTTCACTGATGTTCATGTGAGTGTGTGCACTGCTAGTTCCCTCAAGAAAAGGATTAGTAGGGTAGCTCTCATCTGGGCAGCTGTTTGCAGAAAGCTGGTAGCAATTCTAGGATCTTTGCAGCTCCTATGAGACCAGGTTGAAATAGTAGGGGCTGACCAATTGGTACACACACACAACAGTGATAGCATGAGCTTTATTTCCTGGGGAGAGCTTAGGAAGGAAGGGGGAAGAGCAGGAGAAAGAAAAATAGACTTTAAAAGCTTGTTTAATTGTGATTATTTTTGCCTTCAGTTGCCTGGTTTGTACACTGATGCGTGCTAAAACCCTTCTGTTGGATAGCAGCAGTCCCAGAGGCGTGATGCAAGTGTGCTGCTAATGCCAGGGCTCCCTGGGCCTGACTGACAGCCCTATGCAGAAGCACTAGGGATTTGCATTCATCACCAGGCTCCCTCTCAGCCTGGGCAAATGCAAGTTGGTGTACAGAGAATAGTATTAAAATGTCCTGCCAGCAGAGCTGAAGCCTCCCCCATCTGCCTGCAGCAACTGCACTGCCAAGATCCAAGAAAGCTGATTTAGCCTTTTGCTGACTTTTAGCCCTTTTATCCTCCTGGCTTTCTGAGATTTACACCAGTGCTGTTTGCAAGACAATATTATGAATTTAAAATCTGCCTTAATTTAAGTGTCCATACTGCTGTACAACTCAGTTGTGGGTCAGGCTGGGGGGTTCCCCCATTAGTCATGGGGCTGTGTAGCAAAGTAGGCCTAGGAACTGTGTTTTATCACTGTAGTTGTTTCCCTTTTCATTATGATTTTTCCTGTTTAAAAATAAATCTTCCCTTTATGTTTTCTGGCACGCACTTGTGTACTACACTGAAAATTATTCCTGACTTCTTTCTGCTCCTTTAAGATGAACTTCTCTTTTTCTTTGGACTGTTTTCGGGTCTCTGTTTCAGCTGAAGTTTACTTCCTCACCTTCTTTCTGCTAACTCTTGATGAGTAGATGAGAGGAACATTAAAGAGATTTAGTGAAAAATGACCATCACTAGTGTAGATGACTTTCCTCTAATTAAAAAGTGAAGCGGAAATTAATAAGCTTCTCTTGTGGCTCTGCAAGAGTCAGTGCTAAGCCCTGCACCATATTCACCAGTGGGAAGTCCAGTATATCAGAGAATATCCCAGGAACTTGGGTATCTCGGAGGATGCTAATAAAAGGGGAGGCAGAGATTCTAGTGGCAGCATTTTCATTTGGCCTAGATTTAAATCTAGGTACAGACTAAAGACTCAGAGCTGAATTTACCACATCCTTGCCTTTTTATACCCATGTTAGGTAGGCATTCAGTGTCATCACAGAGTTTCCCAAGCAAAAACGCAGATCTAAGCAAGCTTATACTGTGGTAGTGCGGTATTCTCTCCCATGTGCAGCCAGTCACTAGAGGTAATCATAAGCAGCATGAGTACATTCCCTTTAAAATTTCTTTTGCAATGAGTCAAAATTTTCCATCAGGAAATGAAGGCAAAACACTTAATCTAAAAATTCCTCATCAGCTCTAGTCACTAGACCAGAACAATAGTCATTACACTCAGTTATGCAGTGCAAATTCACAGCAGTGCTGTGTCCCAGGATCACAACATGCCATTTAAAAGGTGGGAAGAGAGAGCAGGTCTACATTAATATCTCTGTTTTGTACATGAGACTTGCAGATATTAAGCAGCTTTGGTAAAGTTACACTACAAGACAGTGGCAGGGGCAGAAATAGGAAACCAGATCCAAGGGCTGTGATTTTTTTTCTTGTCTGGCCACTGAAGCATGTAACCCTAATGAAAAGCAGAGTGCCCGGAGAAAACCATGTGTCCTCATCTAATGAATCCCATCACTTTGTCAGGTTTACTGGTGTTAACCCCAGAGGTATTAGACATATGCAAAGGTAGCTCTTCTGCAGAGAGCTTTTAAAAGCTAACAGTGTCTTAAGTCATTAAGGGGTTGTTTTGTTTGCATTATCTGAATATATGATTGTTCTCTTGTAGGAATGTCAGAGCATCAGCTGTGCGGCAGCGATGAGAGAGACTGACATTCATATGAGTCTCTTCTGGCTTCTTCTCTACAATGGCTGGTGCCTCTGCATATTCATTGGATGGTAATGCAGGATGTCGAGAGCAGTGGTGGAGTTTGGCTTGATCCCATTGTGTTTTTCTTCTGCCAGCTGAGACTTTGAATCACCATGACAACGCTGTGACACTTCCAGCAAAGGTTACCTACAGACCAGGGGTGGGCTGGGGGTGGGTGAGAAGGTCAATGATCAAGTCTAACGGGATCAAAAGTTGTGCCTGCAGCAAAACAACTGTAGAAAAGCTGCCAGCACGACAAGAAGATGGAATTCCCCTTCTATTGGCTTCTCATTAAGCAGGCACAATAACATCTTTTTCTGAGAGACCCGCTATAAAAACTGTTTTGGTTATGGCTACTGATCCAACGTGATTGGGCGCGCAGCGACTTTTGAACTCATGACTGGATATACGATGTTGCGGAATGGGGGAGTGGGGAACGGAGGCCAGCCGTGGGTGTTGAGATGGTCCAGTAGGATCCGGCTCACGTGGCTTAGTTTCACCCTCTTCATTATCCTCGTCTTCTTTCCCCTCATTGCTCACTACTACCTAACCACCATTGATGATGCGGACGATGCCGGCAAGCGCATCTTTGGCCCTCGGACTGGCAATGAGCTGTGTGAGGTAAAGCATGTGCAAGACCTGTGCCGCATCCGCGAGTCGGTCAGCGAAGAGCTGCTCCAGCTGGAAGCCAAGCGGCAGGAGCTCAACAGCGAGATCGCTAAACTCAACTTGAAGATCGAGGCCTGCAAAAAGAGCATTGAAAATGCCAAGCAGGACCTGCTGCAGTTGAAGAACGTTATCAGCCAGACTGAGCATTCCTACAAAGAGCTGATGGCTCAGAACCAGCCCAAGCTCTCGTTGCCCATCCGGCTGCTGCCAGACAAAGACGATGTGACCTTCCCCCTGCCAAAATCCAACCGAAACTGCAGGCTGCACAACTGCTTTGACTACTCACGCTGCCCGTTGACATCAGGCTTTCCAGTCTATGTCTACAACAGTGATGATTACCCTTTTGGTAGTTCCTTAGACCCTTTAATTAAACAAGCCTTTGAGGCAACTGTCAGAACTAATGTTTATGTTACTGAAAATGCAAATATTGCTTGTGTGTATATAATTTTAGTGGGGGAAATGCAAGAGCCCGTAATGCCAAAACCTACTGAACTAGAGCAACAGTTGCACTCTTTGCCATATTGGAGGACTGATGGACATAACCATCTCATCATCAGTTTATCAAGGAAATCAGAAACTCAGAACTTCATTTACAACATCAGCACAGGGCGTGCCATGATTGCCCAGTCCACCTTTTACGATGTCCAGTATCGACCAGGGTTTGATATTGTGGTATCACCTCTGGTCCACGCTATGTCTGAACCCAATTTCCTAGAAATCCCACCCCAGGTGCCGGTCAAGCGTAAATACCTGTTTAGTTTCCAGGGGGAGAAGATTGAGTCTCTCAGATCTAGCTTGCAAGAGGTTCGCTCTTTCGAAGAGGAAATAGAAGGCAATGCCCCAGCTGACTACGACGATCGGATCATTACTACCCTGAAGGCTGTTCAGGACAGCAAGTTGGACTTTGTTTTGGTGGAGTTCACATGTAAGAACCAGCCTAAGGCGAGTCTGCCCACTGAGTGGGCTCTGTGTGGAGAAAGGGATGACAGACTAGAGCTACTGAAGCTATCTACTTTTGCACTGATAATCACCCCGGGGGACACCCATTTAGTGATCTCCGCCGGGTGTGCCATGAGACTGTTTGAGGCTCTGGAAGTTGGAGCCATCCCAGTGGTTCTCGGAGAGCAAGTTCAGCTACCCTATAATGATGTGATCCGGTGGAACGAGGCAGCCTTAATTATACCAAAGCCACGTATCACAGAAGTGCACTTTCTTCTGAGAAGCATTTCTGACAATGATCTCCTTGCCATGAGGAGGCAGGGCCGCTTCTTGTGGGAGACCTACTTCTCCACCTCTGACAACGTGTTCAGCACGGTCTTAGCTATCATAAGGACTCGAATCCAAATCCCAGCTGCTCCTATCCGAGAAGAAACTGCTGTGGAGATTCCCCACCGGTCTGGCAAAGCTGCTGGTACAGATCCCAATATGGCAGACAATGGTGACCTGGACTTGGGGCCTGTGGAAACAGAACCACCATATGCATCTCCTAAATATCTCCGCAATTTCACCCTCACTGCAATGGACATCTACAGGAATTGGAATTCTGCTCCGGGGCCTTTCCACCTTTTCCCCTATACTCCCTTTGACCCTGTTTTACCATCAGAAGCAAAATTTTTGGGGTCTGGGACTGGATTTCGACCAATTGGCGGAGGAGCTGGTGGCTCTGGGAAGGAGTTCCAGGCTGCCTTGGGTGGTAACGTCCCCCGGGAGCAATTCACAGTAGTGATGTTGACTTACGAGCGGGAGGAAGTGTTGATGAACTCCCTAGAAAGGCTCAATGGTCTCCCGTACTTAAATAAAGTTGTGGTAGTGTGGAACTCTCCCAAGCTTCCCTCTGAGGATCTCTTGTGGCCAGACATTGGTGTCCCAATCATGGTAAGAAAGATATAGCTACTATGGTCTTGCTTCGTTGTGGGGTTTGTGCATTACAGTTAATTATAGCTGTTCTGTAGTGTGTCAGCTCAGCTTAAATCATCTAGGGCAGCATTCATCTTGCACGTCTGTAAATATCTGTACCTGATCTTGATGCTGTATCACTGGAGAAAAACAGGGAGATTACAGGTATGACTCATCTGACCCATTTTAGGTGTTTGTGTGAGAATACCATGGCTCCTGCTCTTGGAAGGAAACCAGCTTTGAAGGGAGGTGGATGGCTGTGCTCTGTGGATGTGTTAACTTGGGCAAGATGAATTCCTGTCCCGAGAGAATTCATTTGGTGGCTTTGGGTTACAAAACACAGGAGCTGTTGCCCAGAAGAGCCTAAATTGTAAAAATACGTGGTCTTTAGAGTTGCTAGGTGTTAATGAAACAATAATTATTTGTGTGGAGCCTAATATGAATCTCAAGGCTTAAAGCTAGAGATTCTTGTTTATTGAAAGTCTTTGCTTCGGCTCTTTAAGTGTCACAGTGTGGGGACAGTTGGCACCTTGTAAATACCTAAACAGTGACTGTTTCTGCACTGTACCGGATAAATCTTTCATAAAAACAAAAAAGAGACCCACCTAGTGCAAACAGCTTGAAAGACATTTATCACTTTATATTACAAGGGATGGCAAAGAGGAAAATACAAGCCACAGCCACTGCTCCAATGCTTCCATGCTCCAAAGGTTGTAATTGATTTTTGCTTAGGTTAGGATTGATTTTTTTCCCCAGCCAAAACTTGAAAGACCAACACTCATTCTCATGCCAAGCTACTCACTTGCATATTTGCAGTGTTGCTTGTAAGGAATTAATTCTCCTTAAATTATTACTTATATATGTATGTATTTATTTTAGGACTTCTCTGTCATCTCAGCATAGTTTTCTGCACTGGCCATTGTTAAAAATCAATATTAAGTATAAATCTTCACATGCCCTCGTAAAGAGAGCACAGAAATGGAGCCACTAACAAGAAGCAACACTGTGTTGGCTGAATCTGGTCGTGTTTAGAGGACAAATGGAAGGATAATGCCTTACAAATTGCGGAAGGGAAAAATAAAAGGGGAGATGGTACTTAAGTACACAAGCTGCGTGTGGTTTATGTGACAGGACGCTACTAAGCTTAATAGCAGTGTGAGTTTTATGCTTCATGCAAAGAGATTCATTGATTTAATATTTCATTTTATTATTATTGTGATGAATAAATCCTTCTGCTCATATTTAAAAACCCGTATGGTCCAGGGACAATGAGGAGAGAAAATTGCTTGGATAATTGCAAAATAATCTTTCACATTAGTCCTGTTGAATGCCTGAATTCTGCAAAATCTTTGTATTGTGCTGCTGGAAAACTGTGTACTCCTTCAGAGCTGAAGAGTGGGGATTGTTCTCCATGGAGCTGCTAATGGATGTTATTTGTGAAAGAAAACTATATTTCTGTTGATGGAAGTTAATGGCTTTTTTTACTCTGATCTGCATGTCTGTTGTCTTGGAGGCCCATTGGCTTTTGGGGGGACTTCATCACACATAGAATCATAGAGTTACAGAATCACAGAATGATTTGGGTTGGAAGGGGCCTTAAAGCTCACCTAGTTCCAGCCCCCTGCCAGTGGGGGCTAGACCTAGACCAGAGGGTTGAGTTTACATCTGAGTTGTGTGTCTCCTTCAAGCCACCCGCTGGGGTTTGTTTGCTGTGGGCAATGTTCAGTACTGCTTGGTTCAACAGGGAGAAGTTGTCCTTTGGAGTGTTGGATGGTAACATACCAAGTGCCAGAGAATGGCTGGAGCCCAGCGAGCTTCTGCCATTGAGGTGATAATAGGTATGCTTCCTTCCCATTTTTTGAAATCCCATTTTTTAAAAGAACCCAAGTCTCCTGGGATCTCTCATAACAGTCTCCAGGCATCTATCCCACCAAAATGCTTGTTGCTAAGGCCCTCTCTGGACTGGGTGTTTAAGGTGTTGGGTGTCTGTAGTATTCATCTATATGGATGGTTTAGTGTGGTAGTGATAGAAAATCTTACCTGGCGTTCATCCGTCAGTGACAGATCCTAAGATCCACTGTGGAAAAGGGCAGGAAGAAGTTGGGAAGTGGAGGTGAGGTTCTGTTTACGCCTTGGTGGCTGTGACGTGGGTTGTGCTAGCCAGGGGAAGAGGCAGGTGGGTACTTGGGGTTGGCAAGAAACACAAGCCCATATGACTGCTGATGTCAACAGAAACTGCAGAGCTGTGAATCTGGTTTTCCTTGCAGGATTATGAGTGTCTTTTGATGGGAAATACACAATTCTCACAGATCTTGAAGCAGTGCTGTATCTCTGTGTAACAAACATGCACCCAGTAACACTGGGGTGCAAGGAATTGCCCTGCATTCAAGTCCCAGAGCACAGAGCTATGGAGAGGAAATCTGGGGGGGAAAGAGAATGGGTGGGAGTGGATTTGGGTGCTCCTCCTTACAACTGAAGCTGGTCTAGGCACCATCTGGCTGCAAGGAGCAGCAGAACAGTAGCACATGTGTGCCAGCGTGATCCACAATCAAAGTACCTGAAGCCAGAAGGTTATTGAAGAAAATTGCAGCCTAATGAGACACAGCAATGTATGTAGCATTTCTGGGCTGAAAGAGCCCTTGGAAGCATAATATGGTCTGGAGAGCCACCAACATGCTCCAGCAGCGCAGGGGGACGGACACTTAATCTGTGTGGCTTTGTGCTAGCAGAATAACCCAGAGGAGAGCTGAGCTTCCTCCTTTAGCCTTACTGCATGACCTTATCTCATTGATCAGTTCCTTGAAACTTTTTTTGCAGACTGCTGCTCAATTGTGATTTGGTTCTCCGAAGCAGGTTATGGGGTTTCTTTTCCCTGGTGGGTTGGGATTTAAGAGCAAAGCTTAAAGCTGTGTTGGATCTTTGAATTATTTCATGGATAATGAGATAAACAGGGCTACAGAATGTATTTGATTTCTTAAAAACTCTTACTTAGATTTCTTGTGACAGCATAATTTACTGAAAAATTGGTAAGATTCCTTAGCTGCACAGGGATCTCTGATAAAGTATTCTGGCCTTGTACAGAGCCTGAAGTGACTAGGTGCAAATATAATTTAATGTGAAGTTGTGTGTGTAGTCATTCAAGGCTGCCCCTGGAACATATGTAGGTAGATTACCCTCTAATTTAAAGTGCCTTTGTGCTGGAGCTGAGCTATAAAAATTGTTCCCATCTCACGTTAAATAGCATTGCAGCAAAAAAACAAAGGTTGTGAGTGAGAAGCCTTGTTTGTGCTCTCTTAACAAACTTGCTTTCTGCAAGTGTATGTATCTCTAGCAGTCCATTAGAACTTCCCCAGGCAAAATCCTGGAGATCATGACTACCAGTGACAGTTAAGCAGTTAACCACTGCTTAACTTCTGAGCACCTCCCTGCAGGATTTACACAGCATTGATGCATCCTTCAGGATAAGTACTTCAAGATGTCTGCAGCATCTGGCAATTTAAAGAATTAAAAACTGCCTGGACAGCCAGTCGCTGCCAGCAGTTGAGCTCTGCTCTTCTGTAGCAAGGGTAAGAGTTCTGTACGGTGCATTTCTGTGGCCGCTGCAGTCCCCACCATGGTGCTGCTTGCACCTCACCAGCAAGTACTGCTGCTATTGCCATGCTTATGGGGAAGAAAAAGGGAAACTGTGTTAAATCCTGCTCTGAACAGGTGGAAAGACTGCACTAGGGTTTAAGTGAGGTAGTACTTGGCTGTTGCTCCTGCACTGTCCTTGTGTGAACTTTAATCTTGGAAGGATTTCCGGTGGCAGAATAAAGGAGAAGTGATTAAGGAGAAAATCTGGATTAATCCTGGAATAGAATTCGAGCCTCCCCTTTCAGCATCTTCATGCTCATGATTTCTAAATAGCGCACAGGCAATGACAAGAGAAGCCTCACTCTTTGCTTCACAATTCCTTGACAGCATTTTTATCCACATGAATAAAAGTAAAGGGAAACAAATGAAACAAAACACTCAGGCAACCACATACCCAACCCACACAAATTCTAATAAGACGCACCCAAAGATCTTGTTGCGCTTTGCAGTGTGCTCAGCACCAGTGTGCTGCTACTTTCTGGTTGCTGTAGGGCACTTGCTTGAAATTCCTTGGCAGACTTGCAGCATAGGTGCTTAATAAACCCAGTACATGGTTTTAACAGCTCTTCAGATTCCCTAGAATTGATTCACCATCCATCTTCCATACAGCTCTGAGCAGGACATGGAGTAGGGCAGGGAGAGAGAATTAATTTTCCCTATTTCTGCTTTGCTTTTAATCCTGAAAACCTAAAAGAATGAGCTGAGCTTGAACAGCCAGAGTTACCTGAAGAGGTCTTTTTTTAATATATTGAATATGTATTTCAGGAGGCTGCCAGCGCTGCGTGTACCTTCGGTTCAGTGGGGAGAGCACAAAGCCGTGAGCAGTGAGGTGATTAAGCTGTGGAGCAGCTTGCACTCACAAACAGCCACAGATTCTCTAATGCAGCAATTAAATTACCCATTTCCCTTTCAGAAACTTCCTTAAAGCCCCCCAGGAGTTGCAGTCCAAGCCAGGAAAGCAAACTGTGCACTCAGCAGCCTCCCCTTACCACCCATCCTGTCCACACTTCTCAGCCTGTGGTTTGTGCCCTGGAGATGGCAGGAGACGAGATAAAGGAAGACTGAGCTCAAGAGAACTATAAAATTGGTTATAATCTTCATTACAAAAAATACTTGGCCCTTTGTAGGCCCCCTCTGGCATCCATTTCCAGCATACTTGGTTTGGTCTGTCTCTTAAACTGGATAAAAATGCCTTTTTAACACCTCTTTTCCTGTCTAGTAGAGTAAGGAGAAAGCATCTCTTTCTAAGTCAAGGTTTTTCCAGCCAAAGAGAGAAGAATTGCTGCTTTCAAACTACAAGGGCTTAGTACTGTGCTGCCAGTGCAGTCATCTCTGCTAAAGGCTGC